CAAAACTTGACCATATACTTTTGGAATTCTATATCAATATTCATAGAACTTCTTTCTTTCAAATAATTGTATCTTATTTCAACATGCAATGAAGTATAATTTATACAACCTTCGTCTGCAGAGGAATGCAGAGGTTGTCTTCAGTATTTTTGCCATTCCAACTAATGCTCTGATACATATACATTTACATTTAACTTTGTAAATGTGTGCAAGTATATCTGAAGGGTAAATTCTTAGAGAAAAGTTGATAGACATGAAATTTCCGGGTCATCTGAAAAATAAGGAAGGTGGGGTTTTGTTTCCCTCTATCCCAAAATAAATTATAAATGTATTGAACCATTAAAAACACCAGAAAAACCTGGGAGAATGTATTTATGATTTTGGAATTAGGACAGCCTTTATAATATTAACACAAACTCAGAAATCACATAGATTATGCTTTGACTATATCTGTATGGCAGAAACTTCATAAACAAGAGTTTTAAAAACTATACATATTATGGAATTTTGTCCCTTATCGTACATGTTACAATTGCATTTTTATAATTTGTCATTTCTATTTTTTGTTTATGTTTCTGCCATACAAACAAGTTTGCTCTCTGGCCAGCCAGGGAGCTACCCACATGGCATGGCAGACCTCTCCTGTCTCGCCCGCTGCTCCCCTCAGCAGTGTATTTCAGTCATTCTGCCTGTTCTGTTCCCCACTCTGTCTCTGGTGAGTCCTCTCACCCCCAGCACCTCTGCCCTGTACTCCAGTTCTTGTATGCATAAATAAATAAATCTTTTTAAAAAATAACCAAAGAATACAGGCGATTAGAACATAGCAAAGGAAATACAAATGACTTTGAACACTTGAAACCATATTCACAATGAGAGAAAGGCAAATCTGAATGATGAGAGGCTGGGTTCACCTATCAGATTGGCAAAGACAAAGGCACTGTGCTGGTTAGGGTGTGGGGAGCCCAAGGGCTCACAGGTTATTGGTGATGTTAAGTTGATACAGCCTCTGTGGAAACAATGTGGCAATAGCTAGATCAAAATTTTCGGAAAGTTTGGAGGGTTTTTTCCCCCTTCTTAGTCAAATCTTCCTTTGAATTAGCCGCGTGGACTTGGCCAAGGGGAAAGGCAACATATAAGTTCAGAGAAAACATCAGACCTTTTCAGCATGTCATTTGGATGGAAATGAGCTTGAACGACCCAGAGAATCTCTAAGCGTGTCTAGGTCAGGGTCCCTTTGCAAACAGCACATTTGTTTTAAGGGGAGGTGTAAAGAATTTCATGCATGAAGGTTGGGCAAGGTAAAGGGGGTCAGGTTGGGAGACCACTGCCATCCCTTCAAGGGCTGAGGGAGGAAGGAGGTTCAGGTGCAAGTGAGGACTGTCCCATCCTGTCTGAGTAAATAGCTCCGGCTCTTTCCCCTCCTGTCACTCTTTCTTCTGCTGGCACGTCCTTCTGGCCAAGGTCAATGGAAAATCAGAGGGCAGGGCAGCCAGATTGTTGCTGTCAATAGAGGTCAGTCTCCTGGGACACGGAGCAAGGACAGGTAGATCTGGAAGGGCGGCAGGTGATTCTCCCGCAGCTCTGGCTAACATTGTAACATCTCCAGGGCGTGCTTCATTTGCGCCGCCCTCTGGAACCACTGCCAAATTTTCTTTCAAAGTATTCACGTCTGTGTTAATCCTTTTCAGAATAGAACCCATTGATGATTAAAATCCCCAATCCTTTTCTTTCTTGGACAGTATCTTCATAAAAATCAGCATCATGAAGAGGCTACATTTGTTTATTAAAGCTCAACGCAAAGGAAGCAACTGAAGACAGATACTTAGACTATCAGGACACTATGGAATATATTATAAGAAATAAGAATGATAAGAAATAGTGCAAGATTTGAAAAAAAAAAAAAGTGTGTTCTATTTCACCATGTGTAGTGCCAGCAAGGCACAGTGCAGATTCTCTATGATCCAGGCAGACGGGTAAAAGAGAGTCCTGGAGCCCTCGGCGGCTTTTTCGGGCTTTTATTGAGCTTTTACATGTAGTGAGGCAATCAGGTACACGGAAGGCCGGGGTGCGGGGGCGGGGGGGTTAGGAGGCTGGCAGGCCTCCCAGCCCCCAGTGAGTCTTCACTCTGGACTCTGGCTTTCTCTCATGGTCTCTGCTGCTTCTTTGCTGCTCTGCTGGTTCTGCTCTCGTTCTCTTCTCTCCTGCTGCCCTCTTGTTCTGCTGGCATCCCTGTGATACCACCCTTATGAGCCCAGTCTCTCAGCCCAGGTGTGCCCACCTAGCCATGCATGTAGAACCGCAGGACCATCATTAATACTAATGGCGGGAAGGTGGAAAAGCTGATAATTTTTCACTTCCCCTACACCATGCCTACACTGAAGGAGGATTTCTCTATCTGATTTTCCCCCTTCCTTCCTTCTAGCATCTCCTCTCCTCCCCTCCACTCTATTTTTGGTCAGAGACAAAATGAGTTCCTGGGCTTTACCAGGGACTGATCATAGAATCCCAGCACAGATTCAAAACTACTGGCTGAGGCCTAACAACATTAAAGATTGGGCTAGAGAGAAAGGCTTATGTTACTGAAATTGATTTTCTTAAGCCTATTTACATGCTGACATTTCATTTCTTTGAAATCTTTTTTCTGAAGACTGGGGACAGCAACCCCAGTGGTTCTGTGATTATCATGACAGCAGTTTCCAGGCCTCACCACATCAGGGCCCTTGGTGGGTCCCTCTGCCTTAAAGGGACGTGATTGACAAGAAGGTAGCTTGTTATCAACTCTACCATAGCCTCTCCCCCAACCCCAAGCCTCATTTGGGTTTCTTTTTGTAGAGTTTGTGTGTGACCCATCTGCATTCATTCTGGTCTTAACAATACCAGAATTGAAGAAGTTGTTTCTGGGGTTGGGGTGTGAGGGCGCACTGCCCATTTCTGGCTGCCTTGGGGCCCTAGGTGTGTGTTATCCAGGGACAGACACCCACCCCCCCCACCTCACCAATGTGGTTCTGTTAGAATCAGCACCGGGCAGACACTAAGTGATGTAGTCAGTTCATTCAATTCACTGCAGCTCCATTTGAATTTATTGTTGAGGTTGTCCTTTCCCTGCTCTAGAAACATCAGGTGTGGTTCAGTCATGTGGAGCAGGAAGTAAGAGTGTCATTTGCCAGACAGGCGATACGGTCTAGTGGGTTCCGAATTTGAATGTTATTTCTGGCTCTGCCACCAGCTTCCTTTCTGACTAGGAGGGAAATCTTTCTGGGTGTTGCTAGTTTCGGTATCTGTGGATTGATAAGAAGCACATGGATGGGTGAATATTGGAAGAGTTTGTTTCATGGGAAAATTAAACAGAGCGAGTCTAATGAGAAGAAAGGGTTAACTGGTCTCTTCCTTCTGGCCCTGGTTTTGCACGTTAAGAGGACACTGAATATCTGAATGAAGTGAAGGAGTTTCAAAGTGTGCCACTCGCGTATCTCGCTTAATCCCTGTAGCCAGGCCAGGATGTCAGTCATGGTGTTGGTGCGATTTTGCCGATGAAGAAAAGGAGGCACAAATTTGTCAAAGGTCAGAACACTAGTAAGTAGCATGGCTGGGATTTGAACTCAGGTGATTTCAATTAAAGTCCCAATTCTTACTTTAAAAACTTATTTATTGAAGTAACATCAGTTTACATCACTGTACATGGTTTAGGGGTACAGATCCACACCATGCCCACCACTAAATCAATCCTCCACCACAGTCACTGGGGCCTCTGTTGCTTTATTCCTACCTTCACCCCCTGGTGACCTCAATTCTGCAGTCAGATTGCGGGGATTTTTGTTTTTGTCTGTCCCTTTGTTTTGTTTCTCTATATTCCACATGTAAGTGAAATCATCCAGTATTTGTCTTTCTACTGCTGAGTTATTTCAGCATCATCCCCCAAAACCCTGACTCTTAACTACTACACCCTCCCCTCTTTCTCACCTGGTGCTAGAAAAGATCCACAGGAAGAACATCTATAAAAATCTAGATATTCCAAAAATAGATTTTCAGAGCACTGTAAGCAGAATGGGGGAGAAGGAAATAGACTTTACCCCCAGTAAAGTCTCTGAGGTGCGTGCCAGGGGAGCCCTGTGGCCTGGCAGAAGCTGCCTGGGTCATAAGCAAAGCTGCCTCTTTGAGAACAAATATTCCAGTCGTGGTGTTTCAGGTGGGGTGTTTTTTAAGCCTGATTCTGACTGGCTTTGACAGGTTTTCTTTTGTTCTGGTGCGATGTTTGTCCCAGCTGAATATCATTTCCTTGGATGGGAAATAGGAGGGTGGAGGATTTCACTCGTTTCTGAATCTGTCTCCTGCTTATCCAGATTTAGATATTTTTTCACTACCTCACATCACATCCTTCCCACCTTCCCCTGGGCTCCATCAGATTGTTTACCCAGCACTGCCAAAACAACAAATTTAGTTTATTGTTTGCTGGTTTCCACCAGACTGTCTACCCTACACTTTTGCTGGGCCCCTCCTCTATCACAGGTTGTCCCAAGCCCTGATCCATCCAGAACATTTAATTATCTAATCCCTACTTCATTTATAAACGCCTCAACTTTCTCTGAGCTCACCCTGTCCTGACCTCCCCCTCATATTATTCTTTGCTTAATTTTTATACTTAGCAAAATTTTTGTCACTGTGTCTCTTAAACTTGATTTGGACCCATAAAAGACAGGGAGCATATTGCCATGGTTTCAAAAACCACACAGGCCTCGGCCCAGAAAAAAGCATATGAAATGTCACTTCAACAGGGGCTTCTCCTCCCCCCTGAGGAGAATGTACCCCGCTGTACTTACTGGGGTGGCGCCAACATGGCAGCCACACAGCCAGTGCGAGGAAAGCCCAGTGTCTGTCCTCAGACTCCTGCTCTCAGGATCTCACGAGAGCCACAAGCAGGTGCAGCCCCTCAGCGGGGGCTCTTCTCCAGCCTTTATCTTTGACCTCACCCCACCCCCCTGGTAGAGGTGATCTCCACTCACACCAGCTGAGCTGCAGGCTTCCACCCTCGCGTCCTGGCTTCCAAAGATGGCTCTCGGGGCGCTAGGAAAGTGAGGTGAAAATAGGTGGTGAGTGTCCCCCAAGTCCCGTAGGCCGATGCTGGCCCTTAGTCCCCTAAGGTCCAAGAGGACCTGCCCCAAACAGGAAAGCGACGCCAGATGTAGCCTCTCTGCTGTCTGCTCCCCCCCGCCCCCCACAACTCAGTGAACTTGTGGTAAATGAGACAAACCTACAGTGCCAGTCCGTGTTGGGGCTTCCACCAAGCTCATTGAAAACTTGTAACAAACTCAGGGATAAAACGCAAGACAAGGAGGCTTTTGGATACTTCACGTCCTGAATGATCATTTTCAGCCTTGCCTATTTTTAATGTATGTGAGTGAAAGGGGTTATGTGGTTTTGCTTCCTCTAAAAATGTGGGTGTCTTTTAGTTCTTGGGCTTTGAAATGTATCTTGGAGTTTAGTCTGCTGGTCTCTGAGGAGACCAGACTTCCTACAATGTGAACTGAAACAGGGGAACAGACAGCTTTCGGCAGCATGTGTGTGGCTGTGCTATTTCAGGAATTGTTCCAGAGTGAGATTTTTATAAGAATCTTGGTGTGACCCAGCCAAGGAACCTAATATAACAAGGTTAAGAGAGTGGTGGGAGGAGAGGGCGCCAGTTGATACCAGCTTGCATTTATTAGTAATCAGAAAGGTTTGCAGATGACAGACTTGCTGAGTGCTTACTAAATCGGGGGCTTGTGGTTTGCAAATCATTTTGATGAACAGCTGCTATCATCCTAGATAGGGCAGGAAAAATAAGTGTTATTATTTTATCACATTTGATATTAGTCACAAAGAAACTAAAAACAGTGTGACTTGGCAAATAGAAAATTTACTGGTTAGGTGGAAAAGCGCTTTCTGTCCTCCCACGGGGCTTGTTAAGGGTGACTTCCCCAGGAACATCATTTTAGGTTCTCATGAAGAGCTTACTGGTATCTCATTGTAAGGGAGAGACTCAGTGAAAGAAGCCCCTTTTTTGTCTGTATGTCTATCCTTATGCACATATATATACTTTTTTTTTTTTACGTATTTTCATGACTGCCTTAATTAAACCACCAACTAGGACTCATTTAGGTGAGTCATGAAAGACTGGCCTGGATTTTATAATTAAGCTTTGAATTACAGTCGCCCCCTAAGACAGATGAGTAAACCAGAATGAGTAAACCATTCCACACAGAATGGAATACTACTCAGCTATAAAAAATATGAACTCTTGACATCTATGCAACATGAATAAAGCTGGAGAGGATTGTGCTAGCCAAATAAATCAAAAGAGAAAGGCAAATACTACATGAGAATGTAGAGAAACCAAACAAAGGATTAGATAAAACCAATCTAAGAACTAACTCTAGAAAGCTGACTATAGAATTAAGGCTACCAGAGGGGGAGGAGCAGAGGGAGAGGTGAGAGCAAGATGGAGAGGAACCACAGTGGACAATGGTGGTGCACTATGAATGTGTTGGTGGTGGGTGTGGTGTGGTAACACACCTGAGAAGGGGAGATTCTCTACTTCTAAAACACAAACAACAGTGTAAACCAAACTTACCTCAATAAAAAATACAATGGCCAATCTGACCTAAAGTTTGAAAGTTCAATGTTTAAGAAATAACAAGGGGAGGAAATGTAAACAGTAGTTATGTTGTCAACATGGTCTCTTTTGAGTCAGAACTTAATTCACATGGCTTTCTCAAGAGCTTTTAGATTACCCTGACATCTGCTAACTTTTTTCAAGGATGCTGCTTTTGTGTCTCTGTATAAATCTTATGTTTTCCTGTGCAAAGACATTCAACTGTTAATGACCGAAGGATATACATACTGAGCAACAAGTTATCTTTGTTATCAGCAAATTCCTAGAGAACATGAAATATTATCTATATTGTACATACATGGTGAATTTATTCTCACCCACTGAGGACTGCTTTTGAAAATTGGAACACATGTAGATTTCTGTAAGTCTCAATGTCTTATAGGTTAATATTGCAGTTACAATGCTGGAGAATATGAGATATATAGTGAACACCCTAGGTAAGAAATAAAGCACACCTGTTTCGTAGATGTTGTGTCAGAGGCTTTCAGTGTTGCTCTGTAATTTTGCATTGGGGATACAGTTGTAAAGTATTAATTCAAGAGCTTTTATTATACAGAGCAAAGCAATTCAAACAATAATGCTAATAATAGGGTTGTAGAAATTAGAACAATAAGGCATAGTTCAATCAATAGGAGAACTAAGATTAGTGAATAATTGGTTTGGATAATCTCTAGTACAATTTAATATTACATTTAGTAAATGTGAATGTAGTTCACAATAGCAGGTTAATGGTTCCACTTTTCAATTTTTCTGTAATTATGGACTTAGCAAGCAATGTGTAGAATTAGGTACAGTACGTGCCATATAATAAAGTCCCCCAATTTTCCCGTGTCTTTACTCCCAGTGAGGATAACCGCCTAATATATATTCTATGGCCTCTAGCACTTTTCCTTCCTAATGTTTAATTATTGGTAAGTTTCAGGGTTGGCAGAGTTAACTAATAAAACTACAAAACTCCAGTTGAACTTTAAATTTCAGATAAAAAGTAAGCTTGGTATATCTCTGCAACTTTGGGGACATACACTAAAAAAAATTAGGCAGTGTTCATCTAAAATTCAAATGTGATGGACATCCTGGATTTAATCTGCCAACACCAGCTGCTTTCTTGTTTTTCTCGGTCTCCCACAGATTACATGCTTTAGAGACAGATACCCTGTTTTGCTTATCATTGTATTGGTAGTATCTGCTGGGGACTTAGCGCTTTTAGGCACTTTACTAAATATTGCTTGACTGTCTAAAGGGAATGTGATGGACGTCTCAGTCAAGTGTAGTTGACGTTGAAAGGACTTAAAAACAGCAGCAGTTCTTGCCACTGGCATTCCCACAAGTGGATCACTTTGACACGGGAAACAGTCAACACAGATAAATAGGGAGGAATTCCTTCAAATGAGAACCTCCAAGTGTCTGATTGTGTCTCATACAATTAATTAGGTTTCAGTTTTTAATTTTTTGTTAGGACTTTTTCATAGGTGGTTATTGCACAGAGCACTTTAGATTTGTATTTTTAAGAGCTATGGCAGATTACAGCTAACCTTTTCTTCCAGAATCTAAAACTATAGACGTTTGGACAGGACAGACAGCAGTTATTTCTAGGCCATATATGGAGAAGGGGCCACAAATTCTGAAGTCTTTATCATCACATCTTACTTATTGAACTCCCACAGACGTTCTGCTCTGTATTAGAAAAAGCAAAACAAATTATCTTGTGAAGGTTATTTAGCTCATGAAGAACCAGTTCTTAAAAGTACTCTTTGTAAGATTTCGTTTATAAATTGCCAAGCAGGACTCACAGAGGTGAGTCATGGGCCTTTAGAAAACAGATGGTGGAAAAGGAAAAATGCCTCGGAACAGCAAAGAGAAATGTGTGTCATACGGGCTCGGAACACTAATCTGGGTCAGTCAAAACAGCCCACAGAGCGAGGCTGTTCATTGTGGCTTGTATAGCATCTCACGCCAGTAAATAGGACGGGTCAGGGTGGACAGGAAGTGGATGTCTGAGTTCCAATTCTAGTGCTTCTATTAGCCCCTTGCCCAAGCTGTGCCTCAGTACCCTGGTTCCAGAAGGAAAACATTCCCCTCAACGCTAAGAACACTGCCAGATAGTTCAGGCATGTAGAAGGCTCTTGACATGGGGAGGTCCTGTGGCTCGTGTGTCCCGACCTCACGGATGTAACTCTCGAATGCCTTATGTGAACTGTTGAATTCTCTTCTTTCATCCCTCCTGCCTCACTTCCAACCTCCCACTTGAGTAGTTGAACAAATTCCTGTTTCTCTCTAGAAAAGGTGGGAACATTGGGAAATTGCGAGCCAATTCTCCTGCTGCAGGAACTAGTCCACAAATTTGGTGATTATGGGTATGACATGTTATTGTGGATTATCAATGATGCAACAAGTGTTTTAACTACCAACAAAAGAATCACACCATGTTTGTTTTTTTTTAACAGTATTTTTTATTTAATTAATTTATTTATACAAGCACTGGGTACAGTCAGAAGCTCGGGAGGGTGAGAGAATTCACCAGAGCCAGAGCGGGGAGCAGAGCAGGCAGAAGGACCCAAGCACACTGCTGAGGGGAGCAGCGGGCGGCAGGAGAGGTCTGCGCGCCATGTGGGACCCTCAACTGGCGGCCAGGGATCGAACCGGCGCTGCAGAGGCTGTGGGCAGCTTTACAACCCAGCGCTCAACCGCTGCGCCACCGGGGAGGCCCCACACCATGGTTTTTGAATATGAGAATTAAGTGTTTTTAAGACAGCACATACATACACATTTTGAACAACCCAAGAATGGAAAGCAAAATTTAAATAAGGAAGCAAATAGACTGTGTTCAGCTATAAATCCTAGGTGAATATTGTTTAAAAAAAAGCTGTAAATCACTGATAAATCAACAAAAATTGTATTAATAAAATAAATCCTAGGAGAGATGTGAATCATTCAAGACCAGTTGCTTCTAGAATTTCAATTGAGGGGTGTGTTGTAGGCTTAATAATGAAAAATAAGCCTTGAATAGATGGGAGGGAGGGAGGGTACTGTCAAATGACAACACAAAAATTCAAAGGTAAATATAAAAGGATTTTGTTGTGAAAACTTCATTTTGCAGCCAGTGGCCATGGCCTTGAAGTCAGAGAAAGCGGATTTTGAGTATCTTCTCCTCAGTCTTTCTAAATGCCCCTTCCAGTTAAACCTCTTTTAAATTCTATGAACCTTTTGCTCACTTTCTATTAGATGATTTTTTTTAAAGATTTATTTATGCATATAAGAACTTGGGTGTTGGCCAGAGATGCAGGGAGTGAGAGGATTCTCCAGAGAGAGGAGAGCAGAACAGACAAATCTACTGAAATACACTGCTGAGGGCAGCAGCAGGCAAGTCAGGAGAGGTCTGCTGTGCCATGTGGGTAGTTCCCTGGCTGGGAATGGAACTTAGGCCACACTGACTGGCAA